CTCCAAAACTACCTCCATTTTCAATGCTTTTGTCAAACAAGGTGCCAGTAATTTTCCCTTCGTCTATTTTATTTTCGGAAAGGAGAAGCTATGTATCTTGATTTTTGTTCTTGTTGTTTATGATATTACCATATTAATACAGGAAAGACTAAGGATATCAAAATGACATCTTGTTTGAAGAGTGCCAAATAATTTTATTAGGGATTGTAATTGGTAAAACTTTGGCTCCTGTGACTTTTGTTCTCTGGTGTCACATGTGTTTATTAATATGTTACATTGGATTATAAAAGGGATTATGCAGATGTAATTAAGGTTAACAATCAGAAGACCTTAAATAGGGAGATTAGCCTGGATTTTCCAGGTGGGCCCAATGTAATCACACAGGTTCATGAAAGTCAGGAAGATATGGCAAAAGTCAGAGTTTTGAAGTGTGAGAGGGTCCCAACAGTCATTGCCAGCTTTAAGGTGAAGAGGGAAACTGTGGAAAAGGAAATGAGTTCTGCCAATGCCCTGAATACTCTTGGAAGCAGATTTTCCCCCAGAGCCACCAGAAAGGAATGCAACCCTGTCTAAACCTTGATGTCAGCCTAGGGATACCCTGACCAGAGAACCCATCCACACTGGGCTTCTGACCAGAAGAACTGTGTGCCAATAAACAGAAGTGTTCTCTTTTTTTTTTTTTTTTTTGAGACAGAGGAAGTCTCCCTCTGTCACCCAGGCTGAAGTGCGATGGTGCGATCTCGACTCACTGCAACCTCTGCCCCCCAGGTTCAAGCTATTCTCCTGCCTCAGCCTCAGGAGTAGCTGGGATTACTGGCACCCACCACCACCCGGGTTTCACAATGTTGGCCAGGTTGGTCTCGAACTCCTGATCTCAGGTGATCAGGCCACCTCAGCCTCCCAAAGTGGTGGGATTACAGGCATGAGCCACTGTGTGCAGCCTGGAAGTGTTCTTTAAGCCTCTAAGACTGTGAGCATTTGTCAAGGTAGCATGGAAAACTAACATTACTAAGGAAACTCTATCATTCACATAGAAAAGTCCCAACTTGCTAGTAATGTCTCCTCTAACAGTGAGAAATGTTGGCCATGTCCTTTTCCTTCATGTTTCATCTAGTCTGTTGTATCCCATGTCTCTTCATCTTCCCCTATATGCAGGAACATGTGGTTTGCTTTCCTGAGTCATATACAGCAAAACTTACGGTCCCGCATTACCAGTTGTCAAAGCATCCTTTGACATGAATTAGTTGTGACGCTCATTTTGTAGATAGGAAAATACTGATAGCATCTGTGGCTTGTACCTTGTCACCAATAGGTAGTTCTGGAATAAAATACCAGTGGGACTTTAATTTCTGACTTCTTATGGATTGACACAAAACTTTTGGGCTCACAGTAATTAATTTGGAAGAGGCAAGGAAATCTGAGCTATATTAAAATATGAAGCCCAATTTCCTTCAAATAGCTTCTCCCACTTTCTCTGTTTCTGTTAGTGATGCTATCTAATACCAACAGAAGGGTTTGTTAGCCACTCATTGAGGCCAGGGGTGTTGAGGTCATCTAATGTATTGTTCTCCTCAGCTGCAACCACATCTGGTCCTCCCACCACTCCCAAAATTCAGATAATTGCTAAGTCATATGGCTTCTATCTCCACACTGTACATTCTTTATGAACTTTTCAATCCAAAAATACTGCTTCTAGCCAGGCACAGTGGCCCATGCCTATAATCCCAGCACTTTGGGAGGCCCAGATGGGCAGCTCAGAAATGAGGGACCAGCCTGGGCAACATGGTGAGACCCCCGTCTGTACTAAAAATACAAAAATAAAAAATAAAAATAAAAATGCTGGGCATGGAGGTGCATGCCTATGGTCCCAGCCCTTACTTGGGAGGCTGAGGTGGGAGTGTTGCTTGAGCCCTGGGGGCAGAGGTTGCACTGATCCAAGATCACACCACTGCACTCCAGCCTCGACAACAGAGTGAGACTCTCTCTTTAAAAAAACAAAAACAAAAACAAAAAACTATTTTTTATCTCCCTTCTCTCCTCCTGTCCAAATATCCTTCCTGAAGTTATGAGCTGATTACATGACTCTCTTGCGTGTGAACTTCACTGCCAGCTGAATCTGGTTTACATTCCTCACTCACTCTGTTTTCTGATGCCTGACCTCCCAGGGCCTCAATCAGCCTTAACTCCTGCTCCAGTCAAGGGCATCGTTTTCTTACCTGAGACGAACATGCTTTTGCTGCCAGGACTTCCTCCCTTAGTTCATTCTTCTGAAAATGCCAACCTTCATTTCTTTCTCTGTCCAGTTTTCAAGGCCCACCTTAAACATCTCTCCTCAAATTTCTCTCCTCTGTGAAGCTTTTTATGTTTTTTCTTTCCTTTTCTTTACCGGATACCTCTTGTCTTCCTTCTTATTCCCAAAGCAATATAACCGATTCTAAACATGCATGGTGTTTTTTGAAAAACTAGGTTGTTAAAATGAGTTTTAAAGATGATGGCTTTGTTTCTTTTTTTCTTTTTGTTGTTGTTGCATGCCTGTTTAATCATTCATTGTTTTGGGTTTATTAAAAGTAGGTTCTACCTAAGAGAGAATTTTGTTCAATTATTTGAGTAAGGAGGGAAGGAAGCATCACTGATAGTTGTAATGTGAGAACTGTAATTATACTCTTATTTAGATGTCTGCTGGCTGGGCTGATGTTCTGTGACTAGGACTTGTTTAGATGTTACGCTGCCTCCCATTCATAATCTTATTTTAAAATGTGGAATTAACTTTACATGTCCTTAGAATAAGAGATATATGTGGGAGAGGGGGTAGAGGGAGCCAGGGACAGATGGGTGGGGACAAAATGTTGGGGAAGAAAAAGACAATGTCAAATGGGAAAAAAAAAAATCTCTATGTATAATATAGATATGGATAACAAAAACATGCAATATAAAATTATGCCTATGTAATTTTATGCAAAATTGAACAAACACATGAACAATAACCCAAAGGAAATACAATTTAAGATTATGAGTGAGAATTCTGGAGGCATGGTGTATGGTTTGTTGCATGACTGGGTTATGTGACCTTGGGTAAATCCTGAACACTCCCGCCTCGGCTTACTTCCTCACCTGTCAAGTGAGGATAACAGCAGTACCTGTGATTACGGAGTTGTGAGAGTTACATGAGTTTCTATATAAAAGCACCTAGCATACATAATGCCTGCCACATGTGGGCCCCCGAGACCATGAGGAGGCTGATGAGGAGGCTCTTTGCTGCCTTTACAATAGGTTTTGCAGCTTCTATTTTCTTGTAATCTTTTCTTATCTTGCCCATCTTTTTTTAATCTCGTTTTGTTGATTTTCATCTTAGTCTGCTTTCTCTTTGACTTTCCATTCCATGTACCTCAGTTTGCATTTTTGAGCATATTATTGAAGATGCCAGGAAGCTTCCTGACATTCCTGTATTCTGTTACAAATCATTTTCAAAAGCATAGTGGTTTCTTTTTTCCTGAGTTATGTTTATGCTCATTTTCCCCCAACTCTGAAATCTTTTTCGCAAGTTCTATATCGTCTGTTTATTTTCCCTCACCAATTTTCAAAGAAGGCAATAATTCTCCAAAATTGGTAGTTAATTGAAATATATGGCTAAAGTGGGGAATTATAAACACTTAAATGTTCATTTTAACTCATTTTTCATTAACTTAAATCATTTGAATCTATTTTATGCACTAATCTTTAATTCAGACCCGAGGTCTTTTATGAGTTCACCAATTTGGATACTCACGTTTGTCTTACATCAACCCTGCCCCTATCTAAGGTTTCTAGTCTCATCTCTTTAAAGCGAAATGGGAACTTAAAGATGTGCATGAAGCAAACAGTACAGAAGCTCTCTAACGTTTTACAAATGTTTTCTGCTCGTTCACAGCTGTCACCTGTATTTTGACAGCAGTTCTTTTAGTGACGGTCCAAAGCATTAAACGTGGGTTCTATAGAAATAACAACTCCAATGTTGTGTTCATATTTTATTGGTTTGTGTTATATTTAGTTACAGAATTATAATAACAAGTGCAATTTATCAAAATGCAGTTTATAATAAACCATACTGAATCACATAAGCACAAATTTAACTAGTAACAAAAGTGAGCAAAGTTTATGAAAAGGCGGCCTGAGTCAGGCATATTCTGTTGTGTGGGCATTGGCCAGGATGGTTTACAGAAACGATAGCAAGTAAATCCAGAGTCCATTAAATAGAAGTCAGTTAAGGAAGCTTGAAACACAGCAGTAGTTTCCAAACTCCAATGTGAATCAGAACTATCTAGATGGCTTGGTAAAGTACAGATTGCTGGGCCACAACCTAGAGTTTCTGATCCAGTGGGATTGGGGTGGGGCTGAAGAATTTGCCAGCATTTCTAACAAGCTCCCAGGTGACACCATCTTCTTGTCCAAGGAACACATTTTGTGAACCACTGATCCACAGCCGATGTTGATGGTGTGGATGGGAAGAAGTCTTTTCAAATATCATCAGCATGCATAGACCAGAAAACCAAGTATTTCTTCATCTGTCTCTACCCACCTCATAGTGGATATTCCTCCTATAATCAGATGTTAGGTTTTCTATTACTCTTCATTCTTGGTATTGCATCAAAATTTCTAATCGTGTGTGTGTGTGTGTGTGTGTGTGTGTGTGTGTGTGTGTACCTAGGAACCTTATTTGTAGATTGGGGGAGGATGCAATGAGGGCTTTTCAAGTCTTCATGTGCCTTCTCTTTGATTTCTTGAAAAAGATAAAACTACTAGTTAGCTTATTCAACCTTACTGAACACATTGTTTTCAAATCACAAGTCTCCAAGTCTCTTCACAGGAAAATAACTTATTTCTGTCTCTCAGAACTTGTGTTTGGCAATAGCTTACCAGCTGCAGGGTAGAACGGCAGCACTGTGGGTGTGTTGTCAGCAAGTTGAAGACTTTGAGAAGAAAACAGAAACAGATTATCTGATTGCTCTGTAATCTCCTTTCAGAACTGGCTGACAGAGCTGGAGATCTTTGCTATAATCTTCTCAGCTGCTATCCACGACTACGAGCATACCGGAACCACCAACAATTTCCACATTCAGACTCGGTGAGGGTGTTGAAATGTTTGGAAAAGAGGCAAGAGGGATCAGAGAGACAGTTTTAGAAGTCAAAAAGGTGTTAGTTACCTTTCTTTTGTGTAGTTTTCCTATTGTGAGTTTCGGAAATCATGGACCTCTAAACAAGTAGATCAGTCTGGTCAGCTTCAATCAAGACTTAGAGTTTAAGAAGCCATCTGCTCCGAATTCTCCTATTTTGTTCAGTTCTCATATAGATATCCTTTCTTTCTCTATTCTAATGTTTGCTATTTGGTTATGTTCTATGCATGCTTTACCTATTTCTAACAGGAAACGGGGCAGCTTACAAAAAGGCCCAGATGACTGTAAAGGAAACGAATAAGGACACTGAGGCTTAGAGTGTTTTTGTTGACATTAACAACATTGAGCAATCTTACCCTCTGATCTCTGGGATTCTGATGAGATCTCTTCTCATCCTCTCTAATTTCATCTCTGCTCTGTTTAGTGCTTGCATTACTCCTTGGCATAGGGCCCCAGGAGTAAGATTGTCTCCTGTAGGCCACCTTCACTGTGAGCCACCTGTACATCCTTCCTAATGAACTGCACGGGTAAACACAAACCTCCCCATTGGCGACAGTAAATATGGGTCTAAGTGCCCCACTCTGAACCTCCTGACCTATAACAGACATTGTTAATTGATTTCGCTACTTTCTCTTACTAAACTGTGGTGTTGTTCTTAGTATTCCTCCAGCACAGAATTCCAGGCAATAGCACCAGTCAATCGTCATTTCTACTTAGCATAAAACCTTCTTTGCCCTCTCTTAGCCTAAGAACTTGACCTCTCTTAAGACAATAATGTGGAACTGGAGAGAAGCTAACAGTAGAGTTAGTTAATTATCCTTGATATAGTAATCAAAAGGAACTAGGATACGGGGAAAGGTAGTAAGTCAAAGAGAAAGAATACAGCAGGGAGGGATGAGAGTTTAACACCAAATAAATACTTGCTGATTTCTCTTGAAAAAGCAGGTGCACACTCTAGGTAGGTTTGTGTTCATTAAGTCAATCTACATGTATTTTATGAACTCAACGCTTAATTATAGCATACACATAGAAGACAATATTGTCTGATCTCGGTTCAGAAGGGAAATTTTAATTGAATGGAAGCAGACAAAAGAACTTCCACTACTTGCTTCAGTTCCACCTTCATGCCTCCTCACTTAGTCTAAGCTGCAGAAAAGCAGCTTTGTGTGGTTCTGTTCCAAGGTCTTTAATACAGGGAATTCTGTAGAGTAGCTCTGTTTAATATGTGTCTGTGGATGGAACCTTTGCTCTGAGGACAGAGACTGTGATGAATAGCACCTGTCCATGGAAGTGAGGTGCAGTTGAACATCTGTATGTGGGTCTTGTCTGAAGACCAGTATCAAAACCAGTCATAACTCAGAGAAGAATGGCTTAATTACAGGAGTTAGAAAAGAGTGTCATAAAATAGATATGAGTTGGTATCTAACTTACTCAACAGATGTAACAGCAAATCTTTCACCTTCGGATTTGCATGTTCAGTGTTATCTCCCTAGGAGTGGGAAAATTCCAATGTGTTCAGTTAAGCTTGGTTTGGAATGAAATTTAAACATTGGCCTTGTTCAACAGAATTTTATCTAAAGCATCTCAGCTTGTGTGATCTCTGCTCAGAAAACAAAGTCTGTGAGCAGGCCCTTAATCCTTTGATGAATAAAATGTTAAGCCTAATAGTTTCAAGGTATGATAGATACAGCCCAAAGTTTGGCCAATGGCAGGTGGAAGCACTGGCCCAACTGTCAGAAGATCTTGCCTTCATCCCAGCCCTGCCACGTGGCCACCGAAGACCTCTAACAAGTTCTTTTAAGTCTCTGGAACTTAGCTTCATTGGTGAGAAACCAATAATCTAAGCTTTCACTAAATTAAAGATCTTAAAATCATATACAGTCCTATGTTTAGTGACATTCAGCTATAGTATGAGATAGGGACTAAAAGCTGACATTACAATCTTTATATTCTTTATTCTCAATTTTCCACATGTGGCTTTTGCATGGGAAAACTTTAATATCAAGCCACTATCAGAGGCAACTTGCAGATAGTACCCACTAGGTGATATGTGTTCTGAAAATTACAAATAAAATAAGTAAACCAGTGCATTCCTCGAGTAAAATAAGATGTAAGAAAAAGTCATTCCAGAAAATATAAAGAAGCTTGACATGGCACATATTTTAAAAAAACAAACCAACAGAAACCTTTGCCACTAATATATAATTGAGATCTGCTCGTAAAACAGTTTTTAGAGAGTTCTCAGGCTGGATGTCACATCCTTCCTGCCCACACATGTACTGAGAGTGAAATACCCTACATTCATCTATTGATGATTTGTAGTGATTGAGCTTTTGGTTCACATAAATGGCATGGGGACACAGATAATTTCTAAACATGGGAAAGATGATGGTGCATTCTAGCCTGTTAGAGTTACCCAAATAAATCTTAGCTATTTAACATTCTGAATTTCGCTTGGCTTTCTGTTCAGGTCTGATCCAGCTATTCTGTACAATGACAGATCTGTACTGGAGAATCACCATTTAAGTGCAGCCTACCGCCTTCTGCAAGATGATGAGGAAATGAATATTTTGATTAACCTCTCAAAGGATGACTGGAGGTAAGGGTGAGACAAGAAAGATTTGGAGGCCAGAGAAGGAACTTTGAAGATAGATGAAATAGGCTGTTTTTAATAAAATAACACCTTGCTTAAAATGTTTGTTAGTGTTGCTTTCTCTTCTTTCTCTCACTCTCACCCTTTCTTTGTGTATGTGTGTATATCTTATTTCTTTTTTCTTTATGCAGATATTCAAATATTTATAAATAAAGACTACAGAATATTAAGATTAGGTTCCAACTACTTTATTTTGTCCTCCTTACATTGCTTTTTATTGATGAATTGGAAATTGGAACCAGTTTGAGTCAAAAAATTCAATATTGTCCTAAAAATTCTCAAAGAAGAAAGTTTGAAAAATCACTTCCAGCAGTGTTCAACTGAGGACACTTTGAATATATTTGCTTTTGTTTAACCTTAGGAAACTTGTGCTGCTTTTACCTGAATTCCTTAAATCTCAATTTTATCTTTTATTTAATAGCATGTGTTTTTCACCCTATATTGGATTTGGACTTCTTGACAATCTTTTGACATTTTCTAAGGAAATTATTTGACACTTAAAACAATTATGGACATTTAATGCTGTTGCATGAATGACAGACATTGTGTGTCAGGATTTAGGCAAATACCTGTGTTTTGAATATGGACTCAGTCACTTACTAGCTGTATAATATTAAGCAAGTGACTCAATATCTTTACATCTTTAAAAAATTTAATTTCTCAAAAATAATAACATTTATTTTGCAGTGAGAATAGATTATAATAGATGACATAATCATTTTAAAATGCTTAGCACACATTATGTCATATATAGCAAGCCTATAAATTATTGTAGCTATAAATACAGGTTAAGGTACTTCAAACCCTAAAGGCAGAGATCATCTAAATCCTTAAAAAAATTCTGAATCCATTGTGACTCAAATAATTTTTATATTTTAATTAAATAATCCGCTGTTTATTGAGTATGTGCTCACCATTTTTCAAGGATTCAGAGATAAGCTATACTGAACAATAAATCTGAGAGGCTGATTTTTGTTAAGAGTGGCTAAGTATTTCCATGTAGCTTTAGTTTATTAAAACATATGGGAATATTTGACTTAAATTTTATTCAAATATGCTAGACTCAGCCAGCATCTGAAAAAATGCAGAGCAATTCGATTAATCATTGCATAACTTCAGGAAAGAAGGAACTCTCTATTCAATGTAACTGTTTGTAAAAGTTATAATAAAATGTTAGATTGCAAAATTTTTCTCCCCTTCTGTAAGTTGCCTGTTCATTCTGATGATAGTTTCTTTTGCTGTGCAGAAGCTCTTTAGTTTAATTAGATCACATTTGTCTATTTTGGCTTTTGTTGCCATTGCTTTTGATGTTTTAGTCATGAAGTCCTTGCCCGTGCCTATATCCTGAATGGCATTGCTTAGGTTTTTTTTCTAGGATTTTTATGGTTTTTAGGTCTTACATTTAAGTCTTTAATCCATCTTGAGTTAATTTTTGTATAAGGTGTAAGAAAGGAGTCCAGTTTCAGTTTTCTGCATATAGCTAGCCAATTTTCCCAACACCATTTATTAAATAGGGAATCCTTTCCCCATTGCTTGTTTTTGTCAGGTTTGTTGAAGATTACATGGTTGTAGATGCGTGGCATTATTTCTGAGGTGTCTGTTCTGTTCTATTGGTCTACATTATCTGTTTTGGTACCAATACCATGCTGTTTTGGTTACTGTAGCCTTGTAGAATAGTTTGAAGCCAGGCAGCATGATGCCTCCAGCTTTGTTGTTTTGCTTAGGATTGTCTTGGATATATGAACTCTTTTTTGGTTTCATATGAAATTTAAAGTAGTTTTTTCTAATTCTGTGAAGAAAGTCAGTAGTAGTTCGATGGGGATAGCACTGAATATATTAATTACTTTGGGCAGTATGGCCATTTTCACGATATTGATTCTTCCTATCCATGAGTATAAGGGCTAACATCCAAAATCTACAAGGAACTTAAATAAATTTACAAGAAAAAAAACACAAACAAACCCATCAAAAAGTGGGCAAAGGATATGAACAGACACTTCTCAAAAGAAGACATCTATGCGGCCAAGACACATATGAAAAAAAGCTCATCATTACAGGTCATTAAAGAAATGCAAATCAAAACCCCATTGAAATACTGTCTCATGCTAGTTAGAATGGTGATTATTAAAATGTAAGGAAACAACATACTGGAGAGAATGTGGAGAGATAGGAATGCTTTTACACTGTTGGTGGGACTGTAAATTAGTTCACCCATTGTGAAGTGAAGACAGTGTGGCGATTCCTCAAGGATCTAGAACCAGAAATATCAGTTGACTCAGCAATCCCATTACTGGGTATATACCCAAAGGATTGTAAATCATTCTACTATAAAGACACATGCACATGTATGTTTATTGCAACACTATTAACAATACCAAAGACTTGGAACCAACCCAAATGTCCATCAGTGATAGACCAGATAAAGAAAATGTGGCACATATACACCATGGAATACTATACAACCATAAGAAAGGATAAGTTCATGTTCTTTGCAGGGTCATGGATGAAGCTGGAAACCATCATTCTCAACAAACTATGACAGGAACAGAAAACCAAACACTGCATGTTCTCACTCATAAGTGAGAGTTGGCCAATGAAAACACATAGACACAGGGAGGGGAAAATCACACACTGGGGCCTGTTGGCAGGTGGCGCCTAGGGGAGGAATAGTATTAAGAGAAATACCTAATGTAGATGATGGGTTGATAAGTTCAGGAAACCACCATGTCACATGTATACCTATGTAACAAAACTGTGTGTTCTGCACCTGTATCCCAAAACTTAAAGTATAATAAAAAAAATTTTTAATAAAAATGATAAAAGGTGGCAGGGTGCAGTGGTTCATGTCTGTAATCCTAGCACTTTGGGAGGCCAAGGCTGGTGGATTGTTTGAGTTCAGGAGTTTGAGACAAGCCTGACCAACATGGTGAAACCCCATTTCTACTAAACGTTAAAAAAAATTAGCTGGGCATGGTTAGTGCATGCCTGTAGTCCCATCTACTCGGGAGGCTGAGACAGAAGAATCACTTGAACCTGGGAAGTAAAGGTTGCAGTGAGATGAGATCATGCCACTGCACTCCAGCCTGGGTAACAGGGTGATACTCTGTCAATCTATTAATGTGCTCCAAAATTTGCATAATTGCCTAATGTATTTTCAAAACATATATATGCTACCTCTGTTATACATATTTTTCTTACAGATTTTCTACTTCTGCTTAGCTACAATTTTGTCAAAAACTTAGCTGTATTATTTGTATTTCCACTCTACTATAATCATAAGTCTCGTTCATTCTTTCAATCTACAATTAGGGTAGCAAGGCTGGCATAGGCAGGATCTAAACCCATAATCACCTGGAATAAAACAGAACATGTTAATTCACACTGGAATGCATTGCTGTATATCAATGCAAATATAGTTCCTGTTCATCCTTAGTGCTTATTCTTATAAGTGGGTATTTGTGAAATACCAGTTGTGAATAATTTGAATATTGCCTCTGATCAAACAAGTTATAAAATTAGTGATTTAGCAAACACAGGTGAATGTAGTATAAAAAATGGCCAAAATACAGCAAACCACACTGCCATGTGTGTACCTATGCAGCAATCTTGCATGTTCTTCACATGTACCCCAAAACCTAAAATGCAATTTTAAAAAATGGCCAAAATAGTAACTTGAAAATACAAGTTGTTGAAATCTATTTATGTGCTACCTTTGTATATTTGTGTTTCAGCATTAGCTTTATTATTTTGAAGATAAAGTAAAACATAAATATTATATCAAAGAGAGAATAAAATCGTGGAATAGCTCATGTATTGGAACACGCTGATATGGTGGAAACTTCTTTATATTTATATCTCATAGCTCTGTGTTTTGTTTCTATTCTCTATTTTGGGGGATTCTGTAAGTTAACCAAAGATTATAATTGATGAATTTTTAAACTTAAAATACATAGCTTTAGTGTTGTACTATATTTTCATTTAAGGATTGTTTCAAAAATACTGTTTTATTTTGTTATATTCTATTAATTTTTAAATACAGTGCCACGAGACTTGGTATTGTCATATAAATAACATATTCTCTCATAAATAACATATTAATTTATTATCTAGGGCTCTCAGTTAAGCCCATTAACACAAATATAACATATGTATCTTATGTCTTTCTATGAAAGTAATTTTAATAGATGATAGGTTCTTTTTCAATATGAGTACAGTAGACTTGGGAGGACCTTTGTAAATGAATGTGTTATCAGATATTTATTATATTTTGAAGTGGAATAACATGGAGTTCTACTTTTGGCAAGCCAAATAAACTGTTAATAAATCAATCCACATGTAAATAACAACTATAAACCATGGACAATTAAAAAATAAAAGAATGACTTGACGGTTCTGGAAGGTAAACAAAGTCAGGTAGGTTTTAAGGAGATGAGAAAATTTAGAGAATGTGACAGGATGAGGTGAGTTTGACTTTTTTTTTTTTTTTTTTTTTTGGTGAGACAACCTTTCTCCCAGGCTGGAGTGCAATGGCATAATCTCAGCTCACTGCAACCTCCACCTTCTGGGTTCAAGCAATTCTCCTGCCTCAGCCTCCCAAGTAGCTGGGATTACAGGTGCCTGCCACTGCACCCAGCTAATTTTTGTATTTTTTTTAGTAGAGACGGGGTTTCACCATGTTAGCCAGGCTGATCTTAAACTCCTGACCTCAGGTGATCCACTCGCCTTGGCCTCCCAAAGAGCTGGGATTACAGGCGTGAGCCACTATGCCTGGCCAACATTTTTGTCCTGTTACTATGCAGGATGTCTCAGTCTAGGCAACAACTTGTTGGTTAAAACTGTCTATATATAGTTTTATATGTTTAAAATTTAATATATTTTTAATTAGAATTTTTGTCATCTTTTGATCAGAGAAATCAAAGTTGGAGTCTGGAGGGTAAGACATAACC